TGGAAAGTATCTAAAGGAATACAGAAAATTTTCACGTTTTGAAAGAAAAAGCGAAAATGAAAGGAAAAGGTTGTAAGGCTGCCCTGTTTAGCGAATGCAATGATGTAAATTTAGACGATTCTTTGTATGATTGCAGGTGAATCATGCCAGGTGGCAAGAATGGAACATGAATTATTGTATAGAAAAAGGAAAGATGAATTAAAGTAAATAAGTTAGTCACATGGGCTGGAAAAGAATCTAAAGTTATTGTGATGGTTGTGGTCGTTCTTTGACATTTCCATGGGAATGATTGGTCCCCAAAACCCCGGAAGACACTGAAGTCCCAGGAGAGACCTTAGCTTCTGGCTCTAGACCAGAGGATGAGTCATTATTTTGACACTTATCTGAAGGAGAGGAAGACGTCTCCTGATCAACTGGAGCACTCGTTGGCGTTTCGATGCGACTAGAAGGCACATCCTCAGACTCATGAAGTCTTCGCGCTGAGGTTTCAGTATCGATCATCTCGAGAACGCGAGCCATTTCCTTGGGGCCAAGCTTCATATTCTCTGAGCCGAGAAGGCGGATAACCTAGAATTTTTAAAATTATGTAGAGAAATATTGTTCAAAACAAGGCACTGTAGTATTATCACGATAATTCAACGTCCAAATGAATGAAAATTTCCTGCAGTTGTGATTTAGTTCTAAGCATAATTATCTTCTGTGATGGTGCTGATTCAGATGCTAGCTAGACGCCTAAGAAATTTCCCAATAAAGGTCAGATTCTAAAAGAGTAAGATCAAAAGGTATATTTTCATACTGAATTTGCATTAGTGCCCCAAAAATATCAAACTAGCCTTATGGAGGGAGGTCACCACAAATCTTGTGTCTCGTATATGCAAAAGAGGTATTACCATCAAATATCAATAAAGTGCAATTAATAAGCATGAATGTTAATATAACCCAGGAAAAATTACTAGATCAGGACAAAAAAGATTGCACGAAGATGATTTATCTTAAATTGGCTGCCGACGGAAGAGTGTTATAGAATAATTCGCTTTATAACCATGATTTAGCACAGCAGATTTGATTTTGAGCACTCTTAGACTGACCCTAAAAATAATTCA